GAGCTCCTGAAGTACTTTATATATTACTTAGTATATTACAATGCAGCTCTGCCAAGAGCCACATTTTAACATGTGCATGTTTAAAAGCTTGTCCTTTGGGAATGTGCTTTTTAAAGAAGATTGCTAGCAAATGCAATATTAGAAGATGGTTGATCTAAACAGCCTCGGTCCTGTATACCTGAAGGAGCGTCTCCACCCCCGTCGTTCTGCCCGGACACTGAGGTCCAGCGCCAAGGGCCTTCTGGCGGTTCCATCATTGCGAGAAGTGAGGCTACAGGGAACCAGACAGAGGGCCTTCTCGGTAGTGGCACCCGCCCTGTGGAATGCCCTCCCTTCAGATGTGAAGGAAATAAGCAGCTATCCTATCTTTAAAAGACATCTGAAGGCAGCCCTGTTCAGGGAAGTTTTTAATATTTACTGCTGTACTGTTTTTAACATTTGATTGGGAGCCGCCCAGAGTGGCTGGGGAAACTCAGCCAGATTAATAATAATAATAATAATAATAAAAAAGATGCAACTGAGTTGGAATAAATATGTTGTCCAGGCCTATTTGGAATATAAATGAGCTTCAAATTCTAAAATCTCTGCTGTTGTTTGGTGGGATTCAGGAGCATTATTAGTATATTATATGAAAGCAAATTATAACATTTATTTACTGGACACTCTTAACACTTTTATATTAACCACATTCAATTTTCGCTAACTGGGCAGCCTGTAGTTTGCATTATTATGTTCAGCTATATCTGAAGAGCCACTTTTAAAGTATGCCCAATGGTGATTCTAAGCAGGTAGGAGTGGGGCAAGGCATGTGGAAGTGTTTAGTCCTTTGAAATTAGCCTCTCCCTGCCTCATGTTTCTAGGATCCTGCTCCTAGTAGGCCCTTCTTGTGGGGTCTTATTTGTCTCCAAGCATGTGACGTGAAGGGCTATGACTAACAACACTTGGTTGTTGTATGGCCCACACAATATTTAAGTGATCTTATAGGCAGGGCCGTCTTTACCCGGGGTGCGAGGGGTGCGGGGCACCTGGGTGCTGAATTCTGGGGTGTGCCAGGTGCCCGCTGCTGAAGCCACCTAAGGCGAAGGTGGCAGGCAAGAGGACAGAGGAGCAAGCGAGCAAGCGGAGGATTGAGGCAGCCTTTGGCACGCCTGAGGTGGTGGCGCAGGGAAGCGTGCCCCGGTGCCGCGGGGTTGCTGCCACCACCCCGCTCCCTGCCAAGCAGCCATCACTGGGCGCATCATGTGGCACCCTCTTGGTGCCGGAATGGTGGTCATAGCCTTAGCAACAACTTGACAAAGCTGCAGAGAGAGTGCGAGGCCCGGCTGGCTGCGTGTGCGAGAGATGGTGGGCGGTGGGAAGGGGGGGGGAAGCAGCAGCAGCTTTGGGTTTCTCACGACATGCTCCCCTTAGCGGCCACCACAGAGCATGCCACATACTTAAGTGTAAGTGTATTGTAAATAAATGAGCAAATAAAGTTTCTTTCTTTTTCCTCCCTTCTTTCGCAAACGAGATGAGGCATAAGCGTGGTGTCTGACATAAGCAGCATAAAAGTTAATTTGGGGGCTAAACTAAATTTGGGGGCGCTGGGCGGATCTTTGCACCCTGGCGGCGCAATGCTAAAGACAGCCCTGCTTCTAGGTCTCAGGTTTCATTTTGTTTTTGTGCATACAGAATAGCTAATGTGTTATGAATTCAACTAAACACCAGAGGTCAGCAGAAGGACTGGATTTTGTGGATGACTCAGACAGCACATTCTCTTAGCAAGTCATAATTCAAAACTATAAATCCCAAAGATCCATAAGACATTTTTGTGGTGATAGGCTCTACTCACCCCCCCCCCCGATGTTGGCATGCAACCAGTTCATTCTGTAGAATTTGTCTAAAATTCCTACAGGAGTTCTTTAACATTGCATAGATAGTTTTATTTTAAAGGTTACTTTATATACAAAATAGTACAGGCTGATTTTGTAAATTACTTGATTCATTTTATTAATGTGACCCATTGGGACCTCGCTTCCCTGTTCTCAATTCTGAAGAGCCATTCCAAGATAAACAATCAAAACCACTTGAGAACTTGCAATAATGTTGAAACTAACTTTCTTTCAATTTACACAAAGGCTTACAAGATAAAACATGATTAATTAGTGACTGAAAAGCAAAACTCCACCAGGTGCACCAGAAGGATAGCACCTCTCTATATGTATTAATTGGCTTCCTTATCTGTCTCGCTTTTTCAGAAGAAAGAAATAGGTAAAGTTGCATTATTGAGCAAAATATGGAAGTTGTCCAAGCAAATGAATAAGGACCCACATAAATGTTATAAGAAATGTGTGACCTGCCAACCTGCATTTTCCTCACTTGTCTCTTGGTAATGTCGAGTAAAAGAAACTCTAGTGTAAAAGTACCGAGTGCTTCTGTATCGCTGCTGCTCCCCGGGGGCAGGAAACACTTATCAAGATGATGTCATAACCTGACTCTCTTTTCTGGAGGTTAACAGGATGGAAACTTGGGTATGTATCAGCTACGCATCCCCTGTAGTTTGTATTTAGAACTTCAGTAAGGGTTAATGGCTGTTCTCAGTGAGCTTATAGTCCATTGGTTCCATGTTTGCTTAGAATAGCAATTCAGGGATGTTGTATTGGAATAAGAGATGCAGTGGTCATTATATGTAGCAGTTCTTATTTCAGATGGTGTTCATTCAGTTATTAAGCACATTCAGTAGCATTCACACTTCACTGCATAATAGTTCTATATTTTATGCATATGTTATTCTTCATATCCTAAGCACTTAGGAAAGTTAAAGGGTTTTTCCCCCACCTTCATCTTTGGCAGTCTATATAACACAATTTTGTATATTTTAAAGTATATCATGGGATTTAACAAAACCAAAGCCTCCACAGTGGCTGTAAAACCAGATGAATGAGAAATCCTTGCTTGTCCCTTTAAGCTGTTCAACATCATCATTGTAAATATTTGAATATATATCCTGAGAGCTTACTGTAATATTTTAATTTGTGCTTTGAATAAGTCAGTAGATCAGCACTTTACCAGCCTACTCAGGAGCAGGAGCAGGAGCAGGGCAGGTCTGTTCCAACTTAAAATAGTCCTTCTCAGTCTGCTACCTTATCAGCCACCATGTCATTTTCCTTTGTGGTTTGGTGAAGGGTGGTGGTGATGAGCTGAAAAAGGAACTAGAGGGGAACAGGGTCATCCATTCCTCTCCACATACCTTCTACCACTTAGCCTTTCAGCCTGCCCAGCTAGCTTTAAATCTCATTTCAGGATTCTGATGCACATATATTGTAAAAGTGAACAGTTGCTTTTAAAAAATAATAATACTTGGCATAACTTACTTTTATGAATGATAAAACATGAAAGATTCAAAGGCAGACAGTATTTTTATTCCCAAAACAGAGCAGTGGTAATTAGGTGTTTTAGTGTCTCTTAATCCCAGTGAAAAAGGGTGGTGAATTGGATCATAGTTCAATACTGGTAGGTGTTTGATTTCAGTGTCTCAGAAAACTATTTAACACCTCAGGTCAATCTTGCCCATTGAATCAATATTTTATGTGGAAGATCATACAAATGACTTTTAGCCAAGAAAGTGTATTATCTCAATAGATTATCCATGAATGCATGGTGCCAAAAGAAGTCCAAACTGTCACTTGCTTAAGAGGTTGAGGTTATGTTTTCTGATTACATTATGACTTGTTCTGAATCAGCAGCACCATTCTGCTGATTTAAGCACAGTCAGCTTTAGTTATTTTAAGATTCATAGAATCACAGAGTTGGAAGGGACCATGAGGGTCATCTAGTTCAACCCCCTGCAGTTCAGGAATCTTTTTGCCCAACCTGGGGCTTGAACCCGTGGCCCTGAGATTGAGAGTCTCCTGCTGGACTGACGGAGCTATGGGCTCAGAGAAACATGAATTTATTAGGTGACTTTTTTCTGAAATCAGTTTATATGTTTGGAATCTTCCAAAGCATGCTTCCTTGAGTGAGTTTAGGAAGGTTAGAAGAAAAACTATGTGGATTAATTAAATGGAGAAAGAAAATAATGTCTTTTGTGTGATTCCAAACCTATAACACAATTTCTTTATTTTTTTAGCTTATTTCATACACATTATATACTGCTTCGTTGTAAAAAAAGACCCCACAGTTGCACAGGGAACACTCCTATATGATCTAATCAAACAAGATTGATTCCCAAGAACTTTCTCATGAACTTGACTTACACAAAATACTGCCAGACTATAATTCTCACTGCATATATCAGAAAAGTTTTTTCTTCCCCCAGTCCTGACTTGGTGTGTACCTTTCAGTGTTGATTCTGGCAATTAAGCCATTAAGCCCAGGACAAATTGCAATCATTTAAAAATGCAAATAGTATTGCATTTTAATTAGAAAATAGAGCTACAGTATATTATAGTATATTATCACCAAAGACATACAGAAACCTGTCATCCCTAAGGGAAGCATTGATTTTTCCCAGCCAGCAAAGGATTCAGCTTGGCTCCAACTACAGGTTGCTTACAGGCTGCCACTCAAACTCTTTGCATTGGTGGAGGACACTGATTGATTATGTTTCATGTAAAACTTCGGGCCAGCTGTATTCAAATACAGTCTCCTAATAAGGCAAAAATGAGAGGTTGTAGTCTACAGAATCAATGACAAACTGTTCAATGTGGGTAAAGGATGCCTTTGTCGCTAACATCCAGTCTATTAGATGGTTCATGGTATAGAACAGCTCAATCTAAGAGCACATTGTAGACATAAAATGACAGCATGAAGGAATCTTTCATAATAATAATAATAATAATAAATTTTATTTATATCGCGCGCTCCCCAGCCGAAGCTGGGCTCAGGGCGGCTAACAACAATAAAACAGTACAAAAGTACAGCACAAACAACACTCTAAAATCATTCATTATAAAATTAATTAATTCAAGCCACTGGCAACCATTGGGCCAGAGCTCGGCGAAGATTGCCGAGGGAGGGAGTCAGGCTGTGCCCTGGCCAAAGGCCTGGTGGAACAGCTCTGTCTTGCAGGCCCTGCGGAAAGATGTCAAGTCCCGCAGGGCCCTGGTCTCTTGTGACAGAGTGTTCCACCAGATCGGAGCCACGGCTGAGAAAGCCCTGGCTCTAGTTGAGGCCAGCCTAACTTCTCTGTGGCCTGGGACCTTCAAGATGTTTTTATTTGAAGACCGTAAGTTTCTCTGTGGGGCATACCAGGAGAGGCGGTCCCGTAGGTACGAGGGTCCTAGGCTGTATAGGGCTTTAAAGGTTAAAACCAGCACCTTAAACCTGATCCTGTACTCCACCGGGAGCCAGTGCAGCTGGTATAGCACTGGGTGAATGTGATCTCGCAGCGAAGACCCCGTAAGGAGTCTCGCTGCAGCATTCTGCACCCGCTGGAGTTTCTGGGTCAGTCTCAAGGGCAGCCCCACGTAGAGCAAGTTACAATAATCCAGTCTGGAGGTGACCGTCGCGTGGATCACAGTGGCTAGGTCAGGGCGAGAGAGGTAAGGAGCCAACTGCTTAGCTTGGCGGAGATGAAAAAATGCCACCTTTGTTGTAGCTGCAATGTGCGCCTCCATGGAAAGGGAGGTGTCAAAGATTACACCCAAACTCTTAATGGACGGTGCTGGCACTAATTGCGCCCCCGCAAGAGATGGGAGTTGCCCCCCCAATCCCATATCGTCCCGTCCCAGCCACAGGACCTCTGTCTTCGAAGGATTTAGCTTCAACCGGCTCCCACGTAACCATCCAGCCACAGCTTCCAAACATCTGGTCAGTGTGTCTGGGGCCGAGTCAGGATGGCCATCCATCAACAGATAGAGTTGGGTGTCATCAGCATACTGATGGCAACCCAGCCCAAAACTCCGGACAAGCTGGGCGAGGGGGCGCATAAAGATGTTGAAAAGCATCGGGGAGAGTATCGCACCCTGAGGTACTCCACACACCAAGGAGTGGCGCGATGACAATTCCCCCCCAAGCGCCACCCTCTGTCCCCGACCAGAGAGAAACGAGCGCAGCCATTGAAGGACTGTGCCCTGGATCCCCACGTCAGCAAGGCGGTGGTCCAGAAGTTCGTGATCGACCATGTCGAAAGCTGCTGACAGATCTAGAAGAATCAGCAGCCCCGACCCACCTCGATCCAGCTGTCTACGAAGATCATCTGTTAGGGCAACCAGAGCCGTCATGGTCCCATGACCAGCGCGGAAGCCGGACTGGAATGGATCCAGAGCCGATGTTTCATCCAGAAACCCACCAAGCTGTTCAGCAACCGCTCTCTCAATCACCTTACCCAGGAACAGAAGATTCGAAACCGGGCGGTAATTGGATAGATCTAAAGGATCTAATGATGTTTTCTTTAAGAGCGGGCACACCACTGCCTCCTTCAGTTCCCCTGGGAATGTCCCCGTGCCAAGGGACAAATTGATGATATCCCCCAGGACACGCTATAATCAGCCAAGACGGGCACGGGTCGAGAGGACAGGTGGTGGGCTTTCCAGCTCGGAGGAGTCTGTCCACATCGGCTGGGGATATCCGGTTGAAGTGGTCCAATACTGGACCCGAGGACAGTCGAGGGGCCTCCAGTTCCTTTATTGTATCCAAATTGGCAGGGAGGTCATGGCGGAGCAACAAGACCTTCTCCACAAAAAGCTCGCAAATGCCTCACAGCTGTGTGTCAAATTGTTATTTAAATTTGGCTGTCCCTCAAGGGACGTTAAAGACCTGATTATACTAAATAATTGCGCCGGGCGAGAGCTAGCGGATGCAATGGAGGCCGAGAAGTAAGACTTCTTAGCAGCCTTCACCGCCATCTCGTAGGTTTTCATAAAAGCCCTATACGATTTTCTTGAGGCTCCGTCATGGGCACCCCGCCATACTCGCTCTAGCCGTCTGAGGTCCCGCTTCATTTTCCGGAGCTCCTTGGTAAACCAGGGAGCCCGGTTTCTGCGGGGTCGCAGAGGGCGCTTAGGTGCGATCTCATCGATGGCTGCCAGGAGCTGGCTATTCCAGCCCTCAACAAGCTCAGTCAATGAGTCGCCAGGGGGAGCAAGGTCCCACAAGGCTTGGCGGAATCTATCAGGGTCCATAAGCCTCTGCGGGCGAGCCCAAATTGGCTCGCCACCTAAGCAGGGAGGGGGTGGAAAGTCAATCCTGGCTTTCAGAGCGTAGTGATCAGACCATGGCACCTTCATCGAAGGAGTCATGATCACATCTATACCGATGCCAAAGATCAAATCCAGCGTGTGGCCTGCTTGATGTGTGGGGCCTGAAACAAACTGGGAGAGCCCTAGTCTCGCCATGGAAGACACCAGGTCCAGAGTCTGTGAGGAGGGAGTGGCATCAGCATGGATGTTGAAGTCCCCCAATACCAATAGGTTAGGGAACTCCAAGGCCCAGCCGGCCACCGCCTCCAGTAGGCCTGACAGGGTGGCTGCTGGTGCGCTAGGTGGCCGGTACACCAGCCAGACAGCCAGGCTCTCCTCGGAGCCCCACACTAGGCCAACACATTCAATGCCGGGGATCGATGGCGATGGTAGAGCCCTGAACGGACAATCTTCCCGGATTAATAATGCCACCCCTCCCCCCCGGCCCACAGTCCGCGACTGGTGGAGGACGGAGAAACCCGGGGGCGCCATCTCTCGTAAGGTAACTGTTGCCCCTTCGCGCACCCAGGTCTCCGTCACACAAGCCAGGTCGACCCCCTGCAAGATAAAGAAATCTCGCAGGGTAGCGGTTTTGTTGCCTATAGACCTGGCATTGCACAGCACCAGTGACGGAGGTGAGTAATCCTTGCTCACCCTACCCTCGTCCCTCGGCATGGGGCGCAGATTGGAAGGGGTACAAGCATATCCATATCTCGATCCCCTTCGCCTATAACATCTGCCCCCACTGCCATACCTCCCTCGCCCCTCCACGGTAGCAATCCCAAGCCTCATAGTAGCCTCCATTGATGGCAATTAATGTTATTCTTTCACAGCCTAAAACAATAAAACCTTAAAACAATAAAAACAAAAGACAAAAACAACCCAGAAAACAATAAAACAATACAAATAAAAACTGCAAAAATTACAAATTCATCAAAATCTAACAAATTCCCAAGCCCACCCAAACATCCATCCCACCCCCATATATAAAAATCTAAAGGGAAAGGGAGATTTTAAAACATGTTAAAAAGAACTCTGCACCCTCCGGGTCCTCCTGGGCAGTAGCAGCATCAGTGGCAACAACCGTCCTTGTGAGGCCCCACCCTGGGCCAGATAGTAGGTGGCAGGAGCAGTCCTTGTGAGGCCTGCCAGGCCCCGCCCTGGGCCAGGTGGTAAGTGGCAGGAAGGAGCAGGGCCCTCAGGCACTCACACAGGGGAGTCCTCCTGGGCAGCAGAGCAGTCCTTGTGAGGCTTCAGGCCCCGCCCCAGGCCAGATGGTAAGTGGCCTGTTACTTCTGTTGTATGTTAATAATGTTAAAAAGATGTATGCTGTAGTCTTGGGGGGGCATGTGTTGAAACTCACTTGTAAATGTGAACAGCTGAAGGACAGTAATTGGCATGGTAAACTTCCTTTGGAGAATGTAATCAAACACAAGAAATCGTCACTCCCAGTAGAGCAACTTTGCTGAAACTGGGACAGCTTCATCTTGAGAAAAGGTGGTGTGGCCATGGTATAGGACAGGCACGTCCAACTTCCAAAAGACAGTGATCTACTCCCAGTACAAAAAACTGGCAGTGATCTACCCATTGTCAGTTTTTTGGGGGGAGGAGTGACCAGAGTTGTTGAGCTTCGTAATTCTTACTAAGGTCTATTTGTTTGTTTGATTAAATTTCTAGAACCCTTCATCCAAGGATCACAGGGTGGTTTATGCCTGGGCTGAACCAACTCAAACCTGCTGACCTGGCCTCACATGATGGACTGCTCCCTATATGAAGAAGTATCCTGCACACAGAAAGGCAGCATGTCATTTTTCTCCCCTGTCCCATTTCATTTGTTTTCTCTTTCTTCATAGGAAACAAGGATGTTTGATATATTGCCATTTTGGTAATAAATTGTAATAATATAGCATTTAAAAATATTTTGAAAGAAGGAAAGGTAGCATGTCAAAGAAAAGGCTGTGCTAGTAATCTTCTCCCTGACATAGGGCCGGTGCTAAATAAATATCACGGGACTCTTGCCACAGAGTCATCAACGAGGCCCACGCCTTCCAACCCCTCCCCATGGTCATACTTTTTCCACAGAAGCAGCAAGCACAACACAATTCACCCCCTTCCAGCCAGCATTTTAATCGTAGGCAGGCAGGGGACAATTCACCAGGCTCAGTTTTCAATTGTGGTGGCTGGCTGTCTTCTTAATTTGCCCAAAATGCAATATCGTGGCCTATAGAATTTTTAGATCCATAGGACAGGGCATTGTATTTTGGGTAAATTAAGATGCTGAGCAGCTTCTGCAGCTGTGAACTGAGCTTTGCTGCCATACAAAAGTGGCACTGCCCCCCACCAGAGTACATAGGGCCTGCAGGGGAGGGTGGTGAGTAGCAGGGCAGACGGAAGAGGGCCCTTCTGAGACCCTGGGGCCCTTGGCCAGTGCCTGACCAGCTGACTGCAGACCACTCAAATGTCCCAATTTGAGCGAGACCAGTGCTTTTTTTAATAGAAAAATAGGTGCCAGTCCTCACCATGAAGTTGTTACAGTAAGTAACAACTGTAACAACAACTTTTAACAGCAAAAAAGAGGTGCTGTTACTTGAGTACCCCCTGAAAAAAGCACTGAGCAGGACACCCCAGATATACAAAGCCGCCCCAGCTTCTGTTAGAAAGCCAGGATGTCCCTCTTCTGCAGCCGCCTCTGGTGTGGCGCAGCATTCAGGCATGCAAGACACATTGGCACCACAGAGAGAACTAAGCTGCTGCCTGTCTGTGGATAGGCTGCAATATATAGTAATGTTTTGCTGGGTATGGCACAGTAATATGTAAGAAAAGGTTTTACATTGAAAGTTTTCCTAGTTAATACATATACAGGAACATACAGAAGAAACCATATTGGGTTCCTGTTTGGGGGGTGGGGGAGATGATTTCAAAAGCTCTTGTTTGATGAGGCTTTTATGCACATTTGCTGACGCAAATGACAGTGGTTCTGTGAAAAATTAGGACATGTTAATCCCCTCTTACATTGTATCCCTTCCCATTATCAGTCTTTTTATACTAACACTATGACATTTTTGCCTATAACAGTTGTTCTCAGCCCTCAGGAAACACAAAATAAAAATAATTAGAGCTTCCCATTAGCACAGTGTATTTAGTACACAACAGACTGAATGAAAGGAGAGCCATTAATGGAGTTTCAAGCGCAAACCCCAAAGCAATCATGACTCTGTGATATTAAATTTAAAAGGGGCATTGAGATGTTGGGCTTCCTGTTGTAAACGCTCGTCTCCCACAACATTCTCTTTTGTTGTAACAGTACTGCCTGTGTGACACTTGTTTAGCAGCTCTGAAAGCACTTCTCAGTGTTTCAAATGTGTGATTATTTGTTATTAATGTTGATAATGTGATAGTGATAGATTAGAATATCCTGGCAAAGAAAGTCTAGAACTGAAAACTCCGGCATTCTGTGGAATAGGTTGAATATTTTGGCACACAAACCATTAAGGCAATATAGCATAGATGGATTCTAAAAATACATCAGGAATACAGTGTTTCTGACTTTGCATTACTGTTTGTCACATTGTACAAAAGTAATAGATAACACGCTTTTACTGAAAAAATGAAACTGCATTTGTTGCTTATGCCTGATAGTATCGAATAGATGATAGCTGCTCTAATGAGAGCTGCGTATATAGTGTCTAAAAGAATGCCCAATGACCCAGGCACCTACTGGTTAAAATCTTGCATCTGCCATGCAATTACTATAGGTGGCTTGATGCAAGACATTCTCAGCTCCAGCTCCTTCTCCCATTCATCTACAATATGAGGATGATAATGCTGAACTACTTCATGTGATTACTGTAAATATTATTGTGCTAATGTAGGAGGTGCAGCAAGCTGAGCTGAACACTTGAAATTGCAAATATTACTGTTCACCCGAAACTTAGATGGGGGTTACATTCCAGAGGTCTGCACACAAAGTCAAAAATTGCACAAAGTCAGGAATATCCCTGGAACCACCCACCCACATGACCATCCCTACTTACTGGGCTTCG